GTCGCTTTGGGTTACTTCATGTTTTTGTTTTTTGTTCTTTTTGAAACCAGCTAAGAAATAGAATACGGTACATTCAAATAAACCCGGCACTTATACCAGACCACATCCCGGTGTGTGCAGTCAGCTGAGATGCCCTGTGTTTTGTTTCCATTTCCCGTAACCTCACTCTGACCCGATTGCCACTTTCACCATGAATAATTAGGTCTCTCCATTCTCCGGGTAGCTGTTAAAAGTCAGAGGGCTGCCAAGTGACTGCTGCGCAGGGGGGGAAACCAAAGCCTCTCTCGTCCGAGTGGCAAGGGCAAAGGGGAGCTGGCAGCCAAAGGTCATTCCAGCCTCCTTCTCCTTTTATTCGTCCGCTGTCTTTCCACAAAAGAATTGTGCTCAGAGCAGCTTTCAGCAATGAAAGCAGCGACACGTCACCGAAAAATCAACAGACGCAATAACAATTTCATGATAACAGCTATAATGAAACAACAACATGCAACGAAAACAACAAATGTAATAACATTGCACCTCCTAGAAATAGAAATATCTTCTGTGCCCACTACAAATTAGCTGAGAATGCAGTTAGTCTGATCAAATATCAAGGTCTCAGCTTCCTCAAAGGGTCACTGTCTCTTTGGTATTACCCTTTGGGCAGCATCAATGCTTCCAAAGGCCAGAGGTGTGGTAGTTGGACGCACCTCTCTTATGATGTTCCTGCTGATGCCTCTTCTACACCATGCAGCTTCTCAATAGCCTTAGGTCTGATTTGACAGTGGGTTGTATCCAGGTGCATTCTATGTTCCTCCTGTAACTTCATTTGCCTTTTCATCAGTCTCTTCTGGGCCTCTTTACATACCTTTCAAGTGGTTTTCTGCATGGGGAGGTTCCCTCCCCCCTCCCAGTGGTTTTCAGGGGTTCATCCTTTATTACATCATTTAAAAATACTTTTTATTAATTAAAAAAACTATGGAATTCAGCAAATTTATTTGACCTACAAGCAAATTCGGTTGATAAAGTGACTTAGGGCATTACCTGCTCTGGGATCCCATAGCTAATTCTCCCCTGTTCTCCACGCTGGCCCAAATAGGACTAATTTAGCCAGCTAACCCTGGTGATCATCTAATGTTTATTGGATGGATTTTCCCCCTAAATTGATTTTTGAATTCTGAATTCACGTTTTATACTGTATTTTATGCTGTTTTTTGTTGCATCAATTAAGTGTTTTAAATTTGTTGCTAGCCGCCCTGAGCCCGGTTTTTGAACCGGGAAGGGCAGGTATAAATAAAAAATTATTATTATTATTATTATTATTATTATTATTATTATTATTCAGAGCCTACCCATTGAAATCAATAGACCTGAGGGTAGGGAACCTGTGGCCCTTCAGATTTTGGACTCCTGTTCCCATCAGCTGCAGCTGGCAGAGTCAAAGGGCAGGGATGGGAGTTGGAGCCCAACAGCATGTGAAAAGCCAAAGGTTGCCCTATTCCAACCCTAGCAGGTGTGCTTAGATTTGCAGTCTAAGGGCCAAACTAAATCTCAGCAGACTGTTTGCATCAGAAGGGATGTTAGTGAGGGAGGCATGGTTGGTTTGAGTGCAGAAGGCTCAGACTGTGGAACTCCCTGCCACAGGAGGCTTTTGTGTCTCTTGTAGCATTACATATCTTAAAAGATATCCCTGTTCTGTTTCTTATGTAGGGAGCTTATGTTGGTTCATGTGGCCCTCTCTTCTTCCTCTTCTTCTTTTCTTCCCAGCACATATCCTAAGCTCAGCAGTGCCCGCTCAAGCCATGGACTCTGCCACAGGATGATGCTGGCAGTGTATGGCTTTGTCACATGCCCACTGGCTGGAGGAGTAAACAGAAAATCTAGCATTAGCAGGCTGAGCACTCCTGACACCAGCAAAAGAAGGAACTGAATGAGGATGACGCAGCTGGAAGAGACAGAAGCTCTTAAAGGTCTTGCCCTCCTGCGCAGCTCCCAAGCAGGTAAAGGAGGGCAGCTTCAAGAGAACCTCATACATGGCAAAAGCAGTCACGTCATTTGCCCATTATGGCCTTTCCATCTTTCATACACTGAACCATCCTTAACAGCAGTGATGGCGAGTCCTCATTGGGACTGGTGGGCTGGATGGCAGGGAGCCCAACAGTAGGGGGCGCCAGAGCTAATGACAGACAGAGCCAACGAATTCTAGTTTTCTTCCTCCTTGCTAAGTTCCACAAGGGGCAACACTGAAAGTGAGGGGGAGGAGGAAGCTTACAGCCAGACAGCCTCCTCCCGCCACATGGGGACCCCAAACTGGTTGTAAGAAGTGTGCATGCACACAAAAGCTCATACCAATAACAAACTTAGTTGGTCTCTAAGGTGCTCCTGGAAGGAATTGTTTTATTTTGGTTGTAAGAAAGAAGACAGGCTGGTGGAGACCTGCTGAGAGTAGACTGAGGTTGGCGAGTCCTTTCCCCTAACAAACTAATCTCTGCTTCCACCTGATGCATCTTAGGTCCTTTAGAGCAGGAGATAACAAAGACAATAGTATTTTGTGTCAGTGTTATTTTTTTGGTTATTTGGTTATCTCTTTTTCCTATTCTGTAATCCGCCCGGGAGCTGGTGAAGACTGGGTGATAAATATATGTAAAATAAAACCATGTCAAAAGGTAGGAAGCCCCATTGAGCTCTTTGGCGGAAAGGTGGGATATAAAAGGAAAAATAAAATAAATGTATTGCTTACATTAAGTAGCGAACGACAAGGTAAATAAAGTACTATTTGTCAGAAAGTGAACTGCAGCGGAAAAGAAACAGCACTGATCGTGACACAGAGAGGTCAGGCCTTGCAAGAAATCTGGGGCAGGTGTTTAGTGAAAGCCGGAAAGATCCAATGACGCCAAAATTCTGCTAGATTGAAATGTAACACTCTGCTCCCTAAAACCCTGCCGTTTCCCTTTCAGCACAGGTCTTCTCGTGTGTTCTCTGGTCGCCAGGCTGTCTTCTGCCTCCTTCTGGAAAGGACACTTTCTGCCCTGGGTCGCAAAGCTCACCCCTTAAGAATCCCAGGGGGTGGGGAGTGTGTTCCAAAAAGGCCTCCCCTCCCACTGTGGGAGCAGGAGAGTGTTTTTATGGATTCCCAGCGTCTCAGGCAACTGTCTTAGTTGGAATTATTACCTGTCAGACCGCATCTCAGAAACCCCACATCATGAACCCTGTTATCTTCCTGGGTCCACCCACGCACACAGGCAAAATAAACCACAACATTTTTTTCAAAAAACAACAACCCATCCACATGGAGAGATGCACGCTGTTTGCTCACACTCCCACACATATCACGGCAACCACAGCTGCAAAGAGCAACACACAGGCTTGGGGCTTGTTTGACTGGCATACTTGTGTGTGCGCAAAGGAAGGCCACCAAGATGCAGAGGCTGCAGCTCCAAATACCACAAGCCTGTCTTAGTGCTGTAAAATTTTTGATTATTTTGTGTGTGTGTCCCAATAGATTATGGGGGCGTAACCCATTATTGGTGATTCAGGGGGCTGTTTCAGAGCAGGACTGCAGAAACTCAGACTGGTGATGGGGAGAGAGGAATGGATGTGACAACAGGTCACATCCATTTATCTGCACACCTCTGGCCCCCACACTACTGCCATGCGGCCCCCGCAGAGATTGCTCATGATGGAATACTGCCCTTGGCTAGAAAAGGTCTCTACTCCACTCCCCAATTGTATACAGGACTTCCCACTCTTTTAGAAATCTCCACTTCTGGTTTTTTTTTAAATATAAAAAAAATCAAACAAGTTTCTAGACCTCATTGTTGTGGATAAAGCCTGAAAATGCACAAGCTGCACTTGCTTAAGCAGACATGGGCAGAAGGTGTCTCTGTATCTCCTAGTAGATTTCTAGGTAACATGGAAGTAGATTGGCAAGGATTTCCAACTCCCAATGATGGCCGGAACAAAAACGACCCCCCTCCCACACTGAAATTAAGAAAGCTGATGGGACCTGGAGTGGCTTTTGGTGCAGAAGGACTGTGATTCAGTTCAGTTTGGATACTTTCCTGGAATCATGACAGGCTGGAAAAAAGGTCACTATCCAAGAATTCTCTTCTGCACAGCTTCCTAGAGACAAAGCTCTCTAAGGGCTCTTCCGGGTCACCTGTTTATTAAGCATTCACCCATTGCTTGCACAAAGCTGACACAGAGGTCAAATTATATCCGATTTTCATTGAGCAATTGTCCCGATTTGTTTGTGGCAAGCTTGTACAACAAATGGCCATATTCACACCATATATTTAAAGGACTGCAATGCCATGTCAAATAGTCACTGCTTCCCCGAAAGCAGCCCAGGAACTGAAGTTTGTTAAGGGTGCAGAGAGGAGATGACTACTCCTCTTACAGAACTACAATTCCCAGGGCTCCCTGTGAAGAGGGCCTGACTGTTAAACCACTCTGGGAGCTGTAGTTCTGTGGAGGGAATAGGGGTATCCTAACGACTCTCAGCATCCTTAGCATACTGCAGCTCCCCAGATTACTTGGGGTAGCACAGCTGTTCAAAGCGGCATCGTAGTGCTTTAAATGTATGGTGTGGGTGTGGCCAGGGAACATTCATAGTGATTTGCTTGTGTGGGCATTTGCATACCTTCTCATTCATTCATCCCACACGTTTCAGTGCATTTCCTTGTTACTTTTCTCATCTCAAAAGGGTCATCTTCAGGCTGCTGCTATTTTGCAGGAGGTATTTATATATGTATAAAATCAATATATTGTTTTTTTAACCCCTCTCCCTTTTGATTTCCTCCTTCTGCAATCTCCTGATGGAAAGGGGGATGCCGTAAAGCACTTTAAGCCCATGAGAAAATGTGGGGGAACTCTGGAAGGAGAGACGAGAAAGACAAGCAGATGGTGTGCAAAATATTTATTCATACTTCTCTTCTCCCCCCCCCCTTTTCAAATCAGATTTCAGATCTGGGTAGTAGTGCATTTACTTGTAGCAAGCTCTTTCTCTCCCCCCACCCCCAGAAATTCTCCCCCCTATTGCATGCTCACCCCTGCCTGTTCATCTTTAGACTTCATCTCTCCGAAGACAGGTGCATTTCCATTCGCAGCGGGACGGAACAATTTCAGCAGCCTGGTGCAGCGAGATCTGGGGTGCTGTCACAGGCCATGTGCCAGAGATCTACTGCTCCCACAGCGCAAAACGAAATAAACTCGCTTCCCAAATGGCACCCCTTGCGACAGGAAGGCACGTTTTGAAGCCAGCTAGAAAGTTTTAAAATTAAAACACCCAGGAACCCTTCCAGGCCTTAGCAGAAGGACGGTGGAGCCCATTAGCTGGCCTTGAGGTGTTGAGGGCTCCACCAAGGGTTTTCACCGAGCCCATCCCATTTGGAGGATTCCTGCTGGAGCACCCTTAGCAAAAGCTGCCGATAAATGGGGAGGGTTCCATCTCAGCCTGGGCAGAAGAGTAAGAGCTCCACTCTCCCACCTGCTCAGGCTCCCCGCTTCAATCCCCAGTGCAGTTGAACACTGTCAAAGGTCCTCATAAAGGATGGGAAGATCAATCTAGGCCAAGGATGAGTTAACTGGCCATCTGGAGGGCACAGCTGACCTCCTCAAGCAAATTTATCCAGGCGCCATGTGGCCTTCCCGTGTCTTAAGCCAAGACTGTTCATGCTCATTTAAGAAAACGAAAAAAATTGTTCAAAGGTATGGCACAAAACAGACCCCGCTTTCTCTCTCTTTGGGTTTTAAGTGGAGCTCTCCTCCCCCCACCCACCCACCAAGTGCATTTGCTATTTTAAGAGCCAATCCACCCATTCAGGTGATCGGACTTCATGGCAAAATATACTTCCAAGCCTTGCTTCCCAACTACTAACTACAGCACAGAACTCCGCACCTTCCCTGCGCGCGCACACATACACACACTCCTGAGAATCCAGAAGTCGGCTGTCCCTGATCTAGACCAACCCCTGCTCTAGAAACCAGCTTCTGGAAACACAAAACCTGTGAGCCTGAACAGGACCAATTGCTCAGTCACTGTTCCGTCGGGGCCAAATGGGCACCTTGGCAATACAAGGGGGACAGAGGCAGGGTGATGGAAGAAAGGCAGGAGAAGGAAGCTGCCTGAACCCCATGGACTTTGTAGAGATCTTAGGGCCTGGAGTTCCATCTGGGAATCTCCTTTAAGGCCAGAGATTCCTCAGCGCAGAGAAGACACATTTATAGAAACATAGGAAGCTGCTATGACCCTTGATTGTTTCCTTAAATGATCATAATAATGCACGCAGACCTGCACGCTGGTGTGTATTGGTGTGGACCTCCTGTGCACTCTCTCACACACAGGAGCATAGGAAGCTGCTCTGTATACAAAGTCAGACCATCTAGCTCAATGTTGACTATACTGATTGATAGCGCCTCTCCACAGTCCGAGACATGGCCATCCTTGGAGGCGCCAGGGATTGAACTGGGACCTTTTGCCTGCAAACCACATCATCAAACATTGAGCAATGGGAAGATGCTGTATTTCCCTCCTTCCCTACAGAAGAATCCCAAAACCAGACCTCCAACCACAGGTTAGATGGAAGGACTCCCAGGCCAAAGAAAGGCGAAACCCACCCACCCACCATCTCAGCCCCTCCCCGGTAAAAAAAACTGAAGCACAGAGGTGTTACCCAAGGAGCTCGCAGAAAAACCAATTCCAAAGCAAGGGAATGAAGGAGGTTACAAAGCAAACAAGCCAACAAACCCAGCAACTCAAGAGCACGAGGAATGATCTGAAGGCATCAGATGCAGCTGCATCCATCATCACAGACACAGCTCTGCCGGAGGAACACAAAACTCTGGAATAGACACGGGTAAAGGGGTACCAACCCACCAACCCTCCCTCCCCAAAAAGAATACATAGACTCTCATGCCTATAAGGGGATCTCTGAGAACACAATTGCTAAGGGATCTCCCCCCACCCCTCTTTGGAGCTGAGCTGGGGGTGGACACAGAGGGAATTCTAGGGAAAGGGGTGGCAGTTTGTTCGTTCCTGGGTCACAGATGGCCCCATTTGCCCTCCGGCCTCTTCCCGCAGGAGCCTAGCATGGGTCCTTGCTAATCTTGTTTTTGGCATCCGGCTGACGAATCGCTTCGGAGACGCGGCGCGCGGTCGCTGGGCTCCTGCGCTCCTGTGCGCCAGGTCAGCCCCCTCCCTTTCTCTCCGGTGATGTCTGCAGTTTTTGGCACTTCCAGGGCGGGTGTTGCAGAGAGAACTGGGACCGGGAAGCGGGAGGGGATTGCTACGGGGGAGGTGGGATCTGTGCCCCTAGAAGGTCGTAGGCGAAGATGTTCCAGAAGACGGCAAAGACCAGGAAGGTGGCGTAGGAGAGGAGCACCACCCACCAGCCGCACTGGTCCTGGAGGTTCTCCTCGTAGCTGCGGAGGATGGTCAGGCCCATGCTGATGCCCACAATCGCCCCTGCCAGGTGGGCCATGAAGCTGGGCTGGGGGCCCGAGGAGGGCAAGGGGGGAGAGAAACGCAGCCAAACAGCACGGCCCACCTCAGAGCTCACTGCGAGGGGAAAGAGAGAGAGACGAGAGATCAAAACGGCTCGAGTCCCAAGCTTCTAGTCCCTTTGAGGCATGTCTCTCTCTCATTGCCCCTCCCCTCCTTTGGTGTGTACATAGTGCCTTATAACATTTATATTAGAGGTGTGCATGTCCCCCTCCTGAGCAGTTTCAGGGTTTAATTGGGCCCAATCCAAGTCAGGGTAATCGGGGGCTGACCCAGCCTGGATCCGGGCCCTTGCACAGTCTTTAATTAGGGTTTCACACATGGGGTCAAGGATGCAGGAGGAAAGGCCTGCCTCATCCCCACACCATGGAAGTCTCAACCAAGAGAGACCAGTATACTTACTGCACACCAGGGCTAACACCATGCGCAGCAGTTTGTAAGGGCAACGCATCCCTGCCCAGTTCTACAGAGAGAGAAACAGAATTAGATTTTTTCCTGCCCATAGCTTCTTCTCCCAATACCTTTCTCATCACACCCTCTTCCGTAAGAAGAACCTGCAGGATCAGGCCTACGGACCTCCTGCAATCTGTTCTCGCAGCGGCCGACCAGATCTAACGTAAAGTGAAATGGTATCACGTCCACCAATATTTGCAACTCCAGGAGCTTTCAACCTGATCCCGAAATTCTTCATAGATTTGCCCTGGAATGGCACTGCTCAAGGGAAGCACACTTGGGCCTCTGCCATTGTCCAAGGCCACCGTGAGGCTGAATGACCCACCTCCCAGGAAGAAGGTGACAGCAAGGAGAAGGCCAGCCAGGCCCCAGCCATTGGCCAGAGAAGGAGCAGCCGCAGGGAGCTGGCTTCCTTGCTCGCTCCCAGAAACAGCACCCAGTTACACCAGCCAGCTGTCCCAGGACTGAAGGTCTGAGGAGGAGCACACTCTGTCTCCATCTGTTTACCTGGGTGGGGGAGCTAAAGAGGGCTGAGATGTTTGGGTTTGGGGGTTCTGTTGTGAGTCACTTGAAGGGTCATTTGGTTAAATGACAGGGTGGAAATCTTCCAAATGGCTAAATAAATACTTGGTTTTGTTTTTCATGTTCTGTTCTATAACCCCCCCCCTGCGATCCTTGGATAAAGTGTGGGATATACTTTTAATATAATTAAAATAATATTTTTTATTTGTCTAGCCAAGACCTGGGGACAAGAGGCAGGTATCGCCGTGTCTGGCAGAATACCAAGGCATGAAGAAGTACAATTCGTTTCAGAAAAGAAACCATAGAGAGGGTCAGGGGAGGAACCCCCCCCCCCCCAAGACACAGCTTGATGAGGACTGAGCATGCTCAGTGACCACAGAGTGCAGAATGTCTGCTAGGGAAAACAGAACCTCCTCCCGGAAAACAAGGAGGAAAGTCAAGAATGGAATGGAGTATTCCTGAGGGGTACTGGCTGGCTAGAACCCAGGAGCCATATGGCATGGCAACATTTTGAAGATCTCACCACAGAATCACCATATTGAAGCCCACCAAGTTCCCCTCCCCCATTCAGTTCAAAGTGGCATCCCACTCACCATGACAACGTTGGCCAGGTGAGCAGAGCAGAGGGCATAGACTCCCCCCGAACCTCCAACCAAAGGTGCTCTCATGTCTGTGATGGAGACGGTCAGGGAACCTGAAAGGGAAATAGCGGGAAGAAATAGGATGGAGTTGGGCAGGGGCACCACAAACAAAAGGATTTTCATTGCCTCAGCAACTTGACACACATTTAGTTGCCAGCAAAAATGTAGTCTGGACACCCCTCAGTAAATGATCAACACCCAGGGTCCTCTCCCTGCTACATCCTTGCCTTTCCAAACCTCAAAGCATTCTTCACTTTATTTATTATATTTTAATACCACATTTTCTTCCAAGGAACTCAAAGTAGTGTGCACAGTTCTTCTCCCCACTTCATCCTCACAACAACCCTGTGAGGTAGGTTAGGCTGAGAGATGGCGGCTGCCTCAAGGTAACACAGCTAGAGCTCCATGGCTGAGTGGGGATTCGAACCCTGGTCTCCCAGGTCATGGCCCAACCCTCTAGCCATTACACCACACTGGTTCTTCTTGAAGGACTGCCTTCTCCAGCATGAAACCCTTTCGCACCCCACACATTAAACACCTGAACAGTTGTGGCTACCCCCCAAAAATGATGGGAACTGTTCTCCTAATTGTTCGCTCGGAACTTCTTAGAAACTAGGTAAAGGTAAAGGGACCCCTGACCACGAGGTCCAGTTGTGGCTGACTCTGGGGTTGCGGCGCTCATCTCGCTTTATTGGCCGAGGGAGCTGGCGTACAGCTTCCGGGTCATGTGGCCAGCATGACTAAGCCACTTCTGGCGAACCAGAGCAGTGCATGGAAACACCGTTTACCTTCCCGCCGGAGTGGTACCTATGTATCTACTTGCACTTTGACGTGCTTTCGAACTGCTGGGTTGGCAGGAGCAGGGACCGAGCGACGGGAGCTCACCGCGGGGATTTGAACCGCCGACCTTCTGATTGGCAAGTCCTAGGCTCTGTGATTTAACCCACAGTGCCACCTCTTTAGAAACCACAGTTCCCATAATTCTTGGGGGGGGGGTGAACCATGTCTGTTAAAATGGTATAAGGGTCTTTTCAACATATGGTGTGAATATGACCCACACAGGGTCAGCAATGTGATGCCCCCACTCTTGACTGCAACTCCCATCATCCCTTGGCAATGCTGGCTGGGGCTGATGGGAGTTGTAGTCCAAAACATCAGGGGCTTCCCTAGGTTGACAAAGACAAAGAATGGAGGAAGGGGGAACAACAAGAGTCTGACATGTTTAAACAATTTCAAATGGGTTCTCCCTGAAGATCTGAAACCCACCAACCTTCTTGGGTTTGTGGAGGGGAGACAATACCAGCCTCTTCTGGACAGGCCTTAGCAAGCTGTGAAATGCTCTCCCCAGAGCTCACTGGCGGCAGCCTTCCCTGTGCTCCTTCCCTCCCTCCCCAGATGTACTTTGCTGAGACAGCAGCTTGGGAGAGGAGAGCCAGCGACTGATGAGGAATTGTTCACCCTCCATTTCGCACTCCCTTCCACCACCACCACCACCCCGCCTCTCCAAAAAAGACATGGATGGGTGAGTAATTCCAGCAGCTGCTCTAATTGCCCAGGGGCTCAGCAAACAAATAAATAAATAAAGCTTGCAGTGACAGCCAATAAATACTCTCCCAAAGCACCATAATTTAGAGTCTGGTGCCTCCAACCCCCCCCCCCCAGCCGTCCTGGACAGGGTCTATGTGGGATTTGGTCAGACTGGGCTCTCCAGCAGACACAGTGTGCGATAATGCAGGGATCTCTCTCTCTCTCTCTCTCTGTGTGTGTGTGTGTGTGTGTGAAAGAGAGAGAGAGAGAGAAATCTACAGCCAGGGGAGACGGGGAATTTTTAGGGATTTAGACACCCCAGAGACAGAACCTTGGTTCACAGAGCACTGTCTATAAACTGTCTTGAAGGAAAGGAGATGGAAGCAAAATGAAAGCCCAGCAATGGGTGTGTGTGTTGTGTGCTGCACCACAAATTTAAGGCCTCATCCGCTCCATACGTGTAAAGCAGTATCATCCCACTTATGGCTTGCCCCCCCCCCCCCAATATCCTGGGAACTGTAGTTCGTTAAAGGTGCTGAGAGTTGTTAGGAGACTCCTGTGTTCCTCTCACAGAGCTACAATACCCAGAGTTCCCTGGGAAGCAAGAATGACTGTTAAGCCACTCTGGGGATCCTCAGGCTTGAGGACTGAGTGTGGCCCTCCAGGCCTCTCAACCTGGCCCTCAGAACTCTCCCCAGGCCCCACCCCTCTCTGGCTGTGCTGAACAACTCCCAGAGGGTCCTGGCCTGGCTGGAATGTGCCCCAGCCTGGAATGTGAATTTGGATGATGGAAGATAGAGACAGGGGTGTGCAGAGACTAGCCTGCTGCGCAAGGCAAAAGGTACCCTTGTGCCCCCCCCCACTTTTGCCTCTTGCTCCTCCTACCCCTGGTGCAAGGCCCCTGGAAGGTCTCCCAGCAGGGAATGTGGCCCTCAGGCTGAAACGTCTTCCCCCACCCTGGGCCTAAGGGCTAACAGATTAATGGTGTCCAACAGCAGGACTTAGAGAAGAGTGGAGATGCGAGCCACGCTCCCTCACCTGCCAGAACTCCTGCGAGGTAGAGGAAGCTGATGCGAAGGATGCCGTGGACCATCTCTAGGGGTACCCCGATCATCAGCTGCAAGAGGGCGTTGAAGCCCAGCTGCTCCAACCTGGAAAGAGACACAGAAAGGCAGTGAGCTCAGCAGCCAAGAATCCCAGGAGGGGACAGGCAACGTTCAGCTCACCTTGCCAGAAACGATGAGAGCTAGAAACTTGCCGTGTTGCTCCCTCCCCAAACCCTGTGATGTTCTCAGGTTTCGGAAGCTCTCAGGCCCAAACTTCACCTCCTCTAGGTCTGCAGGTGCAGTTTGCCTAAACGAAGGAGCCTCTCCTGCCTCCAGAACCCAGAGGAATCTCACAGAATTGTAGGGTTGGAAGGGACCATGTGGACAATCTAGTCCAACCCCCTGCAATGCGGGAATCTTTTTGCCCGACGTGGGGCTCAAACCCACAACCCTGAGATTAACTGTCTCATGCTGTACTGGCTGAGCTAACCTGCAGTGGCAGTGGGCTGGTGCCCCCTGCCCATAGACATCTCCCTGCCCCCATCTGTACGCACATTGCAGAAATACAGAGTCAGCTTGCTCACTTGCACAGCTCTCATCCAGGGAACGTTTCTCAGCTCGAGGGCCACGCTGCCAAACCAGGCAACCTTCTGGGGGCCACATGCCAAGGGTGGCCAGAGCGCCAAATGCAAATTCCACCTTTTACGCAGGAGGCTAGTTCCTACACTGACTCACTCACTCCTCTCTAGCCTCCATCCTAGCAACTGAGAGGCACGATCAGAGTTCAGGGACACATTCCAGCCAGGCAGAAACACTCAAGAAAGGGGTGGAGCAGGGCTGGTGAGGGGCGTGGCTGCAGAGGGGGCGTGGCCTGCAGAGAGTTCCGAGAGACAGACAGAGAGGTTTGGAGGGCTGTATTTGGCCCCTAGGCCTGAGGTTCCCGACCCCTGTTCTGCTGGAAGCAACGAGCAGCAAGATAAGGCAGACACTTACCCCACATGCATGAACATGTAGGTGAGGAACCTCCAGGCACGAGCGCGGTGTCCCGGGTGGTACACGAGGGGGCTCTTCATGTACTCAGGGTGGTATGTCTGCAGGACCCACTTGTTCAGCCGAGCCCCATAGCAGAGGAATACGATGATCTAATAGAAACAGGATGCGGGGGGGGGGGGGAGAGGTTATTTAGGATGATCTACTATGGTGTCCAAATGGGTGTGAGGATGTTCAGCACCTTGGCAACACCCAGAGATAAAGTTGATAAAGCTGCCTTCCCTTCCTATGTCTCTAGTCCTCAAGAAAATGGCTGAAAATACATTAAACAGGTTGCATCTAGGCTGGAAATGAACAGGAGACCAGAAAAAGCCACACAAAGCAGTACAGTGGTACCTCGGGTTACATACGCTTCAGGTTACAGACTCTGCTAACCCAGAAATAGTACTCAGGTTGCTTTCAGGATGAGAACAGAAATTGTGCTCCGGCGGCGCAGCGGCAGCGGGAGGCCCCATTAGCTAACCTGGTGCTTCAGGTTAAGAACAGTTTCAGGTTAAGAACGGACCTGCGGAACGAATTAAGTACTTAACCCGAGGTACCACTGTACTGGTCACTAAATTCTTCTCCTTTTTTAAAAAAACAAAGCAATATGCTGGTCCTCAGGGTTGCAAATATATGACTACAGGAAAGAAGCAAGGTGGGGGCAATGCCTAGTCAAATTTCAGATGTCCAAATGGTTGGGGGACACAGAAATTGTTGGGGTTCAGCACCTCCTCCTCCTCCACCCATGAGTAGGCAAAGCAGAATAAGTTGTGCAAAACTGGAATACAGTGGACGCTCAGGTTGCAAAAATGATCCGTGAGGGATGCACGTTCACAACCCGCAGCGTTTGCAACCGCATCTTCGCACGTGCGGATTGCGATTCAGCGCTTCTGCGCATGCGCAACTGCCGAAACCCAGAAGTAACCCGTTCCGGTACTTCCGGGTTTCAGCAGTCCGCAACCCGAAAAAACACAACCTGAAGCAGCTGTAACCCAAGGTATGACTGCAATCGAGATCCATTTGCAGCATTTTGTTTTATATCAGCAGGAATTCTTTTTATACATATGATCAAAACACAGGTGCATGCCCACAAGGAGAATTCCTCCAGCTGCAGAACCTGCCGTCTCCCACAAGACGCTGATCAAGCTTTCTTTAAAGGTTTTAAAAGTTAACCACGAGCCGCCTCTTCCCCCTAAGAGGAGGGCGCCCTCCACTGGCACTCGGGCGAACAGCAGGTCACCTCTCCGCCCACCTGGGTCAGTGTGACGACCGCCATGAAAACCGGAGGCGGGCAGGTGCGGTGCTGGTAGAAGTACCACCTCCGGTCCATCTCGCAGGGAAGGATTTCGTAGGCCACGTAGCGCACAAAGCGCTTGTAGAAGCCCAGGCCCGTCTCGTCCAGGAGCCCATCGCGGGGAAGCGCCCTCTGCCCGTTGGCGATGGCTCGCTTGAAGCTGCTCGACCGCTTGCTGCTGATCTGCAGAGAGGGGCCACGTCATGCAAAGAGGCAGGAGACCCGCTCCCTCGAGCTCTCAGGGTGAACCAGCCCCCCAGGCTCCAGCTCTCACCACCCCCACCCCCCAGCCAGCCAGTAAATGATGCTCTGTATTACTGCCCTTTCTCAGCACTGCTTAAAGCCTCCAGTCAGCTGCTAACCTTGCCTTGCAAATATATCCAAGATAAGTACTATGAGAAACTGGCAGCAAGCATTAAAAACAGCCTTACAGACACCCCTGTTAGGTAGGTCAGTCCTAATACCCTTTGGTGGCAGATGGGGAGCTGAGGCTAAGAGAGAAAGGCTGGCCTGGTGAGTTCGTAGTTTCAGAAGATATACGAATGAGGAGACACTGGCTCTTAAATAAAAAAAGGTGGCTGCCGAGAGTTTTACTCCTGCTTCCCAGCTAAACGCAGACTGGCTTAAGGGAGGGAGACCCCATGTTTGGCCAGCAGGGGGCACTGTGGGGCCTGACCTTCCACCTGCTTCCCTGGTGCTTAAGGGCAAGCTCACTCAGTCCTTTGGGGCTGGATGATGAGCACCAAAAGACCTTGCTCAGGGAGATGTGCTGCATTCGGGAATTGAATTGCAGGTCACACGGTGTGCAGACGGAGCCTGCCTACTAATGCCTTCTTCCTTCCCTTACCATCTTGGCACTCAGCTGAGCCAATTAAGGAGAAATTATTGACTATTAAGTATTCAGAACTGGATAGCTGGTGCAGCCTAAATGCTTTTTAACAAAGAACTTAGGAAGAAAAGAAGAGAATTGGATATTATCCCTTTAATTGGACTCTCCCTCCCACTTTGCTATCCAAGATTATAGGAGGGGGAGATTCTATATATACTGAGTCTTTCTCCAGTGAAACCTTCCCCTATAGGAACCCACAGGGTGACCTTGGGACAGTCTCTGTCTCTCAGCCTTACCTACCTCACAAGGTTGTTGTGATGGAGAGGGAGATCAGTGCATATCAGTGGAAAACCTTACTGGCTTCAAAATTTGGCAAAACATTTTGCACTCCTGCTCAAGTCAGGCAGGCAGGGAAATCACATTCGAGTGGAAAAGAGAGGCATGAAGTTTTATATTTATATTTACTTATTGCATTTATATTGCACCTTTCCTCCAAGGAGCTCCTGGTGGCTGACATTGGTTCTCTTCTTCCTTATTTTGCCCTTACAACACCCCTGTGAGTCGAGTTAGGCTGAGAGACTGTGGCTGTCCCAAGGCCCACCCAGTGGGCTTCAATTTGCAAACCAACATTTGCAGGGAGCGTTTGTCATGTCCAGTGCTTGTGATGTTAGACAGGCACCTTCATCCTACAGCTTTCCTTGCTCAAACAAGCTTACCTACAAAAAGTCTGCTTTTATTGCTCTTTCTAATTAATGCTTTGTGCGAACTTGTTTACTGATTCTTATTTTATCTTAAGAGGTATAGGTCGGAAATCCTGCAGAATCACAAGTGCTGATGCAGCCACAACTACGGTGGCTGCCAGGACTCATGCCACTGACCAGATCTACCAGCTCCTGATAGCAGATCTGTCCCTCGTCGTTGCTCTGTGCCAATGCCACCAGCATCTCCAGTTTTGCGGGGTCCAGAGGCAGTTCATGGCTGTGTACCAGGCTGGCAAAGGTCTCCACGCCAATGAAACCGGTGTTTTCAGGATCAAGCTGTTGAAGAATCAGCACTGGGCATTAGCGACAATGAATAAGCTGGAAATCAAGAGTGGTGATCCATCTCAGAAGGGCTGCTTATTCTGTGCAAGGACAGAATTTGATACTGGGTGAAGAATTCCATATCCCTAAATTATTGCTGGTTGGTTAGCTCCCACCCCCTGACAACCTCAAGTTCCCAGCCATTTTTTTATTATTGCATTTATATCCCACCTTCCCTTCCAAGGAGCTCATTGTTTCCCACCTTCTGCACAACAATCCTGCAAGGTAAGTTATAGGCTGAGACCGTGGCTGTATTCGCAAGGCAGTTTAGCTTGTTTTCCTGACGTCCCCCTGTTCTGCATTACATTTGAACTTTCACACCATGTAGAAGTCACTTTGACTTCTACATGAGCCAGTGTGGTGTAGCGGTTAAGAGCGGTAGACTCGTAATCTGGTGAACCGGGTTTGATTCCCCGCTCCTCCACATGCAGCTGCTGGGTGACCTTGGGCCAGTCACACTTCTCTGAAGTCTCTCAGCCCCACTCACCTCACAGAGTGTTTGTTGTGGGGGAAGAAGGGAAAGGAGAATGTTAGCCGCTTTGAGACTCCTTAGGGGAGTGATAAAGCGGGATATCAAATCCAAATCCAAACCAAACCAAACCAAACTTTGGGGAAACTAACGGACTACAGTGCATGTTTAGAGCTTATTTCTGTGTTATTTTTGATTCCAGAAAAATTCTGTTTGCAGCTCCCTTGACCCAGAAAATTATGGGAGTAAAGTGACATAATTTTGGGGTGCTATTCCAGCATAGAGTTCTTCCCTGCCATTTTCATGGGGCAATTGTGGGGGAACAGAAGTAGACACATGCAGAAAGGGTGGAGGTGTTAACGGAGAAAGAGGTTAGCTGCAGTGTTCACTGATGTTCGTTTTTCTATGTCACAACGTGCTTACTTGGCGTGAATGAAATTTAGAGTGACAGGCTAGTATATCGGTCAAAAAGCCACAGTTCCATGATGCAGCAGGTACTGCAACATGAAAGGCACATTAGAAAATGGGAAAGAAGCTGCAGCATTATAATCAAGAAAACTAAGACAATATACCCCACACTTGAACGCACCCTTTGACTGGCTTCATGACTGAGTGGGGGTTTGAACCCTGGTCTCCCAGTTCCTAGTCACACACACTAACCACTACACCACGCTGGCCATGGGGCTTGGTTGACACTTTCAAGCCTGTGACCGGAGCAATTTTGCAATCCAGAACTTTGAAGGTAAGTAGGGGATACATTCAGGGACGCGGACTTATAAAAAATATTGGGGGGGCCCGGGAAAGCTCATGAATAATAAATAAGCTCATGAATATGCAAATAAAGTGGCTCCGGCCCTAAATAGGGCAAGCCACGCCCCCCAGCCAGCCAATCGGCTGGCTGGGAGGTGTGGCCAGTCGGGATTCCCCTGTTCTCGCGGGGGCCAGGAGGAAGGAAATTCCCCCCGGCAGTGCCTTGGCAGTGGCGGTGGTGCTGCGAAGCAGCGAGGCAGGAGCCCCCGCCCCCGGGGATTCCCTAATCTCGCGGGGGACGGCCGGGGCTCTCCGACTAGGGCGCGCGGCTGGCTGGCTGGCTGGCTGGCGAGGGAGCAGGTGGGGAGGAGGCGGGGGACGGCGGCGGCGCTCTGCTGGAAGGGCGCCCGAGATTATTGGGGGGGCTGAGCCCCCCCAAAAAATTTTTTGAGGGGGCTCGAGCCCCCTCAGGCCCCATGGAGTCGGCGCCTATGGATACATTGAACCTGGTGTAAATCTGGCTTCAACATCCTGCATAGCCCCTTGCCTGATTCAGTAAGTAGCAGTGATCGACAGGTAAAAGGCAGGCAAGCAGGCATTGAACCAGTAAGCAGCGCAGTCTGAGTGTTCATAGACTCATAGAATTGTAGAGTTGGAAGGGACCCCAAGGGAGGTGGAGGTGGCGAAAGTGCAAGGAGATGAAATCTTAAGGATGAGCAAAAATAAATTTGATTGCCCTAACACACTTCGAAATGCATTCCTCCTTCATGTGCCCTTAAAAAACAGACCACTGTGTCCTCAACCGTACTCTGTAGCCAAATTAATCTATTATTCAACATAAATATAATCAACTTGGCTCATCTGCATAATTTGGAGGGAGGGAGGAAAGAATTTGAGACAATGCAGAACTTGGATTTTTACACACACACACACACACACACACACACACACAACAATCAATCTTCCATCCGAGACATTAACGCAACAGCTGAAAGTGCCTGTTGCGACAATAAGCCAAAGAATTATTTTAACAAACAGCTCAATAAACAGCTTTTTGTTGAGTAATGCTGTGCCAAAAATCTCTCCTGACCATCTTCCATTTGCATTTGAAAATTACCAAACAGGAGATTACATTCTGGGGGACATAGGAAGCTGCCTCATGCCAAATCAGACCACTGGTCCATCTAGCACAGAGCTGTCCACACTGACTGGCAGAGGCTCTCCAGGATTCCAGGCAGGGAACATTCCCAGCACTACACTGGGAACCAGGGCAAGCACTGCTAACCGAGGCGATGACTTCATGAGTTGGCTTCAGTAGATCTAAACATGTATGGTAGTTGGTTTCCGAAAGGTTTCTGGGCACTGGTCAACTCACTTCTCAAAATCAAGCAACCTGCCTCATATGCAGTGTTGAAACCCAAATTGATTTCCCCCTTAAGCATTTCATGAGAATCTCAGCTTCATTTATTTGTTGTTTTTAATGGTATCTATCTGCTTAGGCACCTCCCCTAAAAAGATAAAATGCATATCCATAAAAGAAAAGAAAAAAAGGCTGTATAAAATTTTCTTGCACTAATCGGAGCAGCTAACATATATGTGCAGGTGCACATTTTTACAAGAGGAGTGTAATTTATAATTTAAACTGTGTTTGAAAGACATCTCCCCATTATGGAAAAGACTGTGACCAGGTGAGCTGTGTGCCCAATGGCTCAGTCTGCTATCCACGTGCTCAAACCATCGATGGGCAACTTCGCAGCCCCTCCTGCTCTCCTTTCTTAAGGTTCTTTAAACTAAACTTAGACTGGGCGGCCCTTCCGATAAGAGGACTGTCTGCTGCAAAGTAGGACACTGTGGAGACATGACTGAAAGTGTCTCTGGGGGCCATTATAGTCTCCCCAAGGCATTTCTACTAATCAACATAACTAACCCACCCTGAGATGTGTGGCTATTTTTGTATCTGGAAAGAACTATTTTCTACTTGTAAGGCCGTCTTCAGGAATGTCAAGAACTGCTGAATGAGAGAGAGAGAGTTTAGGGAAACAGCCTGTCATGCGCACCCCAATCTCTGAGTAGTAAGAGACTCCGGATAATTCCCACACTTACCCAGGGCTTGGATCCCTTGGAGTGAAGGTCAGAGGAGTCTGTGTTGTCTTTGGGGTATATAATTTACTTACATATATCTGTAACATGAGCATAGGACAAAGGGGCTCACAGCATGAGCACTCCAACAGATCTTACCTCCCCATTGTTCCCAGGGAGATCCCCAAGCCATAGCGTTGGGTTCAGCACAGTGCAAGACAAGCCTCTGCGTCTACAGCTTCTAGCATCAGCCAAAAATGCAGGAGAGCGCGCACACACACACAGCAGATGAGGTGGGAAAAGGCCCAGCCACTTGTCTCTATGGCAACAGGGTAACCTCCTTGGACATGTAAATGGCAGCACTTAGCTCGCCAGTTCACACCATTATCTTACAAAGAGTCTGGTCTGACTGGTTTAGCATAGTTTCCCTTATAGATTCCAACCTCACGGATACAGGATCATAGGTTTAGAAGTGACCCATGGTCACCCCCAGACTGACACCCCCCCCTCCCCAACCTATAGCACTATATAATTTGTGGGCACATCTGATGGAGTAGACTTGAATCCACAGAAGCTTATACCATAAAAAAGTATATACAGTGGTACCTCAGATTACATACGCTTCAGGTTACAGACTCCGCTTACTCAGAAATAGTGCTTCAGGTTAAGAACTTTGCTTCAGGATGAGAACAGAAATCGTGCTCCGGCGGTGTGGCGGCAGCAGGAGGCCCCATCAGCTAAAGTGGTGCTTCAGGTTAAGAACAGTTTCAGGTTAAGTACGGACCTGCGGAACGAATTAAGTACTTAACCCGAGGTACCACTGTAGAATAAAATGGGTTAGTCTATATTGCTATTTTGTTCTGTTGTTGGGAGCGGGGGAACACACACACAAAATAATCTAAGGTGGAAGGTTTAGCCAGAAAGAAAAGCACCCCTCAAAAACCCTGCCCAGGGCATCCAAAGTGCCCATAGTTCCAAGCATGTGGCAGAGCTAGTAAAACAAAATTATTCTACACATTACATTGTCTTTGCCATTTTATCCCCCCAGGGAAGAGAAGGCACAGAAAAGAGAACAAGCTGGCAATGTCATTGAGGAATGGGCAGGACAGGGAATGTGTGGGGCGGGAGGGAAGGAGGAACACACAGAGAGAAATGTCATCAGGTTTGAGCAGCAGGAAAGCACTCTGTCCTCACCTGCCCATCTCCCAGCACAAGGAAGTCCTGGCTGGTGAAAGGCAGCTACCTAGTAGTTTTCAGGGTCCAGCAGCATGCAAGGGCATCTGAACTATAGCCGTGCCAAACATGTGGCTGTCAATACCTGGAAATATGTTGCCAGGGACAAAAACATGCTCTGGGGGCGGAGGTTGCCCCAAGCTAAGAACAGCCCTTCATTTTGCTACATGCATTGCAAGCCGTGCCTTCCCCACACTGCAAACAAGAATCGGTCCCTCTTGTGACTTGGTGGGTTGCACTGTCTAGTGGTGGAGCATTTAGCAAGGGGGTGGGGGAGAATCCACTGCATCTTAGGAGGCCTCCAGACTGTTTTGCTAGAGGGATTCCAAAAATGTAGGTTTGCACAATTAAAGTGGGTTAAAAGTGCTCCATCATATCAAATCCACTTTGAAAAGTGATGGGCCAAATGCCAAAAGTCTGAGTAGGTCATACAACTCCATGCACTTTCTCTCTTGGAGGGAGCCTAACCTGAGCAAGCCTTGGGCTTACTTCCCATACCTAGGATCCACAGCGCCTCCACCTTGTCAGGTTTCAGCTGTGGCTTCTTGGGCCCCATCCAGTCCATTATTGTATCCCCACTGGTTCAGCACTTGGACAGCATCCCCTGACTCTTCTTTGCCCAAGCAATTGAGCATTACTGTTTCTACTGAACCCAACAGAACTTTTTTTAAAAAAACCAAAAACACACACCTTCAGGGATTGTAAGCTGCTGCTCTATTCAGTGCCTGCTGTTTCATTAATTCTGCATTTATGCCTTTAGGGTTTGTTTGCTTTTAAGTCGCCTGCAACTGCTGCCATTACAGTCTTGCTGCTCTGTTTCCTTGCCATGTTGTTGAAGGCTGTTTGTTTTTAAGGTTATAATGTTAGCCACTTTGGAAAATTTTCACCCAGTGGCAGAAGTGGGAAGAAAATACCTTATAGTACGGTTGGGGGGCCTCAAAGGGCCAAATTCAGACTGCCAGGCCCCTCTCTCTCTCCAGGCCAAACCTGAGTTCCCCACAACCATCTGTGAGCCTCATCTTTTCCCCCCAAGCCACACCCCTCTCCAGGCAGACACCCTTTCCTCAGGCCACACCCACTTATAGACACACACCTTTTGGAGGCCCCACCCACTCATCAGACACACCCTCTTTCCTCAAGCCACACCCCTCACTGCCCCTGATTCGCACCCTGCTTGAGTGTTTTTGCCGGGCTGGAAAGTGTCCTTGAATTCTGACAATGCCTCTTGCTCTGGAGGATAGAGAGGGCGTGTGTCTGTAGAAACCAGCCTCCTTTACACATTCCTTTAAAATTTGCATTTGTGGCTCCGCCCAGATTTGCCCAGGCCCCACCCACCACCGGCATGTCCCCTCCCACCAAGGTTGCCCAGTAGGGAATGCAGCCCCAAGGCTAAAAAAAGGCTTCCGTGTCCCTGCATTAAAGCATGGAATGAAACATGAGAAGGACAAGCCTCATGTCAGCACTCCTGAATCTCCTGCTTAGGGGCTGACCCTGCTGCAGGGTCTTCTCTTGATCCTGGAGGGGCTACCCTAACCCATAGTAAATTCTGGGATGCTGGACAATTAAAGCCCCACTGCTCCTAGCAGCTGCTTTTCCTCCCTCCCTTGGGAGGTCACTGGGGGATAGTGGAAGCCGTTCATGTGGATTATTTAGGTCAGCATATTATAAAGCTAGTCAGCTGCCCCTGTTGTAGCCAGCTGCTCTTTCCTCTCTGCCTTGCCCCGGCACAGCATCACCCAGCGCATGCTAACCACAAAGTACTGTAACTTACACGAAACTTGCAAGTACAGCCACGCACGTTCCTGCATCGCAGTTCACAGGCACATTGTTCAGACTCCTGCTGGAGAGGCACTGCCGGTCAGTGTGGGCAATAGTAAGCTGCATGGACCAGTGATCTGACTCACTATAAGGTAGCTTCCAGTGCTCCTACAAGAAGTTCACCCGTTCCCTTTCACCACACACAACTTGTTGTGTGAGTCAGGCACATCAGTGGCGGCTAATCTTTGTGTCCCTCCAGACATTGTTAGAATCAACACCCAGCACTCCTGATCATTCGCCGTGCTGGCTGGGGCTGATGGGACTTGGAGTCCAGCAACATCTGGAGTGCCAGAAGTTAACTGCTCCTCGCTTAGATTAAATACCCAGCTTCATGGAGTTATGTGCTAACACAAAACTTCCTCTCTGCCCCCCCCCATCCAAAAAAGTGTGCTTTGAGAGGACTGAGCCCAGGTCATGCAGTAAGTTATCTTCATAGGAAGGAGAATACGGCAAGCTCATTCCTCCCCTCGCATCAGCCCCTGTGACTGAATAAACCAGGGAACAAAACTGTATTAGATCAGCTGAGTCAGTTGAATTTCTAATTTTGTTTTGTTTGTTCACATAACCGTGATGTGGTGTGTGTGTACACAAGCTTTACTGTTCCCATTTCACAGTTGGGAATACTGAGCAAGAGCTGTTATAAACTTGTCCAAGTTATAATTTTAAACCTACAAGGGAAATAAGCCCCATTCAACATGGTGGGAGTAAACAGTGCTTAGGACTGCTATTTTCATTGTGCAATCCTACAGATGCTTCCACAGAAGTCTCACTGAATTCTGCACTTCTTACACCCAAGCAAGTGTGCATAGGATCTGCAGTCCCAACTATCCTATAGCAAAGATTTTAATATATCTTCCAGAATTCTATGTGACTCTCACCTTAATGATGGTGTGAAGCCCTAGCTGTGCTGCTCTCCAGTTAATGGATAAAGACTGTAGCTGAATGGTAGAGCATCTGCCTTGCCCCCAGAAGGCCTCTGGTTCGATTTCCGGGTAGGGCTTGGAGAGCTGCTGCTAGTCAGTGTATACAATACTAAGCCAGATGGGCTGAGGGTCTGGCTAAGGCAGCTCATGTGTGTTTGTGGGTCATAGTATGCTACCCAACTAATATAAAATCTGGGGCTCATCTACTGGTCCAGAAGCAGTAACGACATACTCCAGTTTTCACCACCAGGTCAAGGCCACTTGTTCACACTGAGATTGAATGCAGTCCCATAATAATATTACAAAGAGCTTTCAATAAGATCATAAGAGGATCCTGATGGATCAGACCAATGTTCCATCCAGCCCAGCATCCTGTTCTCACAGTAGCCAACCAGATTCCTACAGAAAGCTCATAAGAAGGATCAGAGCGCAACAACTCTCCGCTCCACAACAGCACTCAAGCATTTCACATCCATTATCTCAGCAACACTTAAAACAGCCCTGTGAAACAGGCTGGTGGTCCCCATGTCCCCCTGCTGCTGATGGAAGGTGCAGAGACCAACAGCATGGCGACTCCTCAGCCCACCAACTGAACTCTTAGCCAAGGAGCCATTTGAAGCAGGGGCTGTTCTGGGCTTTGCAGTCGCTGCTTTGAGCCAGACCGTTATGCCAGGAACAACAGCAGATCCCGGCAGTTCTTACGAAGGGATCCTTCACAAGCAGCCAAACAAACGGTCACTTTGACAAAATAAAATATGCCATGGAGGTTCGTGGGGGGGTTTGCCTGAGAGGCCGCTGACTGAACTGGACACAGGGGTGACGGAAGTGACAGAAGCACAATTGGCTCAGCCTCCAGCAAGAGAATTTCAGCTGTTCTGCAGACAAGGTTTTGAGTTCCTTGCAAAGTCACCAAAAGATAAGACTCGGGGTAGCTCAGTCAGTAGAGCATGAGACTCTTACTCTCAGGATTGTGGGTTCCAATTCTATGATGGGGAAGAGATTCCTGCGTTGCAGGGGGTTGGACTAGATGACCCTCATGGTCCCTTCCAACTCTGCAATTTTATGGTACCCAAGAAGGTAGTGGTCCCAGTAAGACTCAGAGCCCTGATTCCATCAGTGGGGAATCCACAGATCCTGTCATGATGCAAACACATTTTTGTCCCCCTGCCAGGCATACTGCCCTGGGCTTCAGCCATGTCAGTGGCTGTGTTGTGTAGTGGTTACAGCACCAGAGCAGGACCTGAGGGACCAAGGCTCAAATCCGCACTCATCCTGAGTTATCTTGGGCTAGGCAATGTCTCCTGGCCTAAACTACCTAGCAGAGTTATTGTGAGGATAAAATGGGAAGAGGGAAGAACCTTGAGCTCCTTTAAGAAAAGGTGGAATAGAAATGCAATTATGAATAAATAAATGAGCACCCCATCTATTTTTCAGTACAAACTCGTGCCAGTTCTTCCTTGGTCTCAGAACCTTTAGGCTGGATAGGCATGGGACAAGGGCCAAAGGCAACAGCAAAGATGGGTTGCCCACCAGCGGCAGTGATTCAGGCCGTGAAGGCTGGCTCTATGCTCTCTGGATCAGCGGCGGGCAGTGCTGGAGGTCATGTCTGCACTATGCATTTAACACACTCTCAGACCACTTTAAACAGTTATGTCTCACCACCACCACCAAAATATCCTAGGAACTGTAGTTCATTAAGAGTGCTGAGGGTTGTTAGGAGACCACATGCAGAACTACGGTTCCCAGCGCCCATAACAAACTACAGCTCCCAAGATTCTTTAGAGGAAGCCATGACTGCTAAAGTGGCAAGAGAGTGATTTGAATGCATGGTGCAGGTTTTCATGTTAGGTGACCTCTGGATCATGGAGCAGCACAATAAATGCCACTAGGAAGACCACAGATCTGAAAGCTGGGGGTGGGGCAACACCTGTCTAAATCTCCCACCCCACCAAATAAAAAAATGAAAATTCCAGGCAAATCCCTTATGGCTAAATCGTGAAATAACCCACCACCATCTAAATGGGCCCCTGCCACCCTCCAATCGGAAGGTGCTCTTGGACGGCTCTACCTAGTCCTCACCCCGCCCATGCCTGCCCATTTCCTTCCCTCCCTTCAGCACCCTGAAGCTGGAGTATCTCCTGGTTGGCACAGCCACACGTGGCCCGGCCAAAGCGATGCCAAGGCAAGCAGCGGGAGGGCTGGCACCGTGCCCGCCCGACCCCACACCAGCAGCCGGAGGAGTCGCTTTTCCGGGGCACTGCAACCTGTTTGCCCAGCTGCGACCCCCTCCCCTCCACGAGATGCCACTGCCCCTGCCCGCACCCCATCCCCGCCGCCCCCTTTCCTCCCCACCCCCACCCCCCATGCCAAGGGGAGCCTGCCGGCAGCGACGCTGCCGTGGAAACGGCGCCTCATCCCGCCTGGCTCACCTGCTCCTGGATGAGCTGCAGCAACGAGCTTCTATCCATATACCTGCTGGGCTGGACGGCGGAGGGAGAGGAGGACAGCGGAGGAGCGCGCACGGGCGGCGGCGGCACTGGCACCACCGGCGGCTGCCTTGCCTTCTTTCCCCCGCCGGGAAGGCGACCGAGCAGCAGCAGCGGGACCAGCAGCAGCAGCAGCAGCAGCAGCCCGGCTTCCCGAGGCGAGTGGCAGGCAGCGAGCCGGGCAGGCGGAGCCTAGGGCAGCCCGGCGGGGCGGGGAGAGGCGAGGCGAGGGAGGCGCCCGCTGCGCCTCGGGCGGCGCGAGGGAGGGCGTTGCGCAGGAGCGGCGGCCGGGCAGGCAGGCAGGCAGGCAAGCGCCGCTTCTCCTCGCTGCTGATGCTGCTGCGAACAGGGACGGATGGACGGGCGCCCGGCGCACGCAGCAGCAGCAGCAGCGCTGCAGCCCCCTCTGGCGCCCTCGCGAAGCGGCGCAGGGAGAAGAGGAGCGCGCGGCGGGCCACCCGGAGCCGCAGCGGCCGGCGGCGCCCGCGAAGCGAGGGAGGGAGGGAGGCTCGCTCGGACCCGCCTCTTTCTCCCACCCGATTGGCGGGGAAGGGATCCCAAAGGACGGGGGCGGGGTGGAGAGCCCTTTCCCCCCTCCTCCCAGCCCGAGGGCCGCATTCCCTCATGGGTAACCTGCCGCGGGCCACATGCCGGCAGAGGGCAGGGCCAGAGGCGAAAGTGGGCGGAGCAACAGGTGCAGTCTGTGCACGGTAAGGGGCGTGGTCCAGCCAAGCAAAAATCAGAAGAGGAGGGGGGCATTTCTCTCCAGCAAGAGGAAGGACCACACTTGAGGGTGCGATCCAGCCAGGCAAAAGCAGGTGAGGAGGATGGAGAGCGTTTCTGGAGGCTTAGGGAGGTTGCATGCGGCCTGGGAAGAGTCCCAAGGGCCAGATACAGAGGCATGGAGGGCCACTGGTCCTGCCTCAGTGTTATAGAACATATTGAACTAAGAAGTGTGCATGCACACGAAAGCTCACACCAAGAACAAACTTAGTTGGTATCTAAGGTGCTACTGGACAATTTTTATTTTTTGTATATATAATAGTCATACCTCGGGTTGAATGCGCTTCGGGTTGAGCACGTTCGTGTTGCGCTCCGTGGCAACCCGGAAGTAACGGAGCTCAAAATGACGTCACGCGCATGCGTAAAAGCGGCAAAAAGCGACACGCGTGTGCACAGACGTGCCGTCGCTAGTTACGTTTGCTTCAAGATATGAACTGTACCTGTTTATCATCCACAGGGATAGAAAGCAGTCCTTTACTCATGCCTAAGGGCTTGTTGCTTGAGCCCAGTGGGGGTCCGGGCTTCTGTTTCAAAAATGGTTTGCTATGTGGCCCAGGGATGTGGGTGGAGAAGGCTTGAGTGCCCGACGTGTATAGGGACCAAGTTGGTCTGGGACTAAGTTTAGATCCTGGCCACAATCTCGTATTAATATTATTTGGGCACACTTAAAAGGTTTGCAAACATTATCTTCCCAGCAATGCACTACACAGTGCAGAGGCAGAATTAGGGCTGTGGGACCTGTTCCCCTACACTGGGTGCTGAGCCTTGGGGGTGCTGCAGGGCATAGCAACTATGCCGTAGTGAATTGAGCAGAATGGAAGACAGTAGGTAAGAGGGCATTGAATTTTCACCTTGCACAGGGCACCGCTGAAATTTGAAAGATCGTAGTCCGCCCCTGCACAGTGGGCCAAAATGGTAGGTGGATCCTGCAACAAAATGTTGTAGCACGTCTTCACTCCTAGCAGAAGTGCTCCTGTTCAAGACGCCTGCCACTGAGATGTTGCTCTTATCCTCTTCCCACCCCTCCAACTGGCACTCAATATTTCATGGCCACCGACAAGTAGGAGAACAGTCCTGGCTCCCCACTGCCATGATGGGGACCTCAGCATCCTGGAGGGAGTTAGGGAAATTGTGGGAAAATTCACTGAAAAGTGTGGGATGAGCAAATGATCAACAGGAAGTGGTTTGCTACGTGAACACCCTGCAAGAAAACCAGGATGAATGCTCAATAAAGACTGGACACAAGTCTAACCGCCAGAAAAGCAAATCAGGAAGAATGCTGAATAAACAGGCCATCTGAGAAGTGCGTTTTCCAGCAACCATCCTAGGACCACCATTTCTCCACACCAGTTTTGCAAAATGCCTTTGCATGGAGGGAGTGTTGCTCTTTCAGGGAACACGTTGCATGTTCTGAATATCCCCATTTGCACTGAAAAAGAACCTCACCAAAGTTTCTTACTTCCCTCTGTAGATGTTCGCAACAGGCACTGAGTTTGGATTTGATATCCCGCCTTTCACTCCCTTTTAGGAGTCTCAAAGCGGCTAACATTCTCCTTTCCCTTCCTCCCCCACAGCAAACACTCTGTGAGGTGAGTGGGGCTGAGAGACTTCAGAGAAGTGTGACTAGCCCAAGGTCACCCAGCAGCTGCATGTGGAGGAGCGGAGACACGAACCCGGTTCACCAGATTACGAGTCTACCACTCTTAACCACTACACCACACTGGCTCTCAACAGGACTTAGGCAAGGGTTACCAAATTACCTGGGTTGGCGTGGAGTGTCCTGACCTTGTCTTGTACCGTTTCCAGCAGCTAAACTGTGGAGAAATCAGGAGAGGAAGGTTTTAATGCCACTACGAAGATATTCCTATATATAAGGTAAAGGTAAAGGTACCCCTGCCCATATGGGCCAGTCTTGCCAGACTCTAGGGTTGTGCGCTCATCTCACTCTATAGGCCGGGAGCCAGCGCTGTCCGCAGACACTTCCGGGTCATGTGGCCAGCGTGACAAGCTGCATCTGGCGAGCCAACGCAGCACACGGAACGCCGTTTACCTTCCCGCTGGTAAGCGGTCCCTATTTATCTACTTGCACCCGAAGGTACTTTCGAACTGCTAGGTTGGCAGGCGCTGGGACCGAACGACAGGAGCGCACCCTGCCGCGAGGATTCGAACCACCGACTTTTCGATCGGCAAGTCCTAGGCGCTGAGGCTTTAACCCACAGCGCCACCCGCGTCCCATTCCTATATATACACCTGCATTATAACCTGCTTATGTCTGAACGTCAGCTGTGTGCTTTAAAGGCATCGCTGCAAGAGCTGGCTGAAAAGTTGGCAAGCCTCATCTTAGGTGGCGAACTGGAAAAGGTCCTACTGGGAGGCAGGGAAGATGTGTGGGTGGATGGCTCAATAATCATTCCATTGGGCTAATGCTCATCTGCCTGGTGGAGATAGGAGAGGCTGGCAGCAGCTGGTTAGCAGGTCGTGAAAGCCATGGAACCAAGGAGCCTGAATATTCATCTTCGTCCCATACATATTCACATCCTCTGGGAAATGAGGAATTGTGGGCAGGAAGGAGAGTGACTCCATTGCCTCTCTGCCTGAAAAAGTGTGGTGAAGACCCAAGGGTGGGCAAAACCTCAGGGGGAGAGCATGCATACATCATGCATAAGGTCCTTCCCAACAGATTTCCAATTAAAGAATCTCGGGTAGCAACAGAGCAGGAAAAAGAGATGAGATCTGGGAGGTACGATTGCCTGTTCCTGTTGCCTTTGACAAACAGGGCAATCTATAATTTGATATTTTGACAGGAACTAGAACTTCCAGATACTTTTTAAATATTATTTGACATTCATTTATTATATGTATGGTATGTAATACAACAAATACATTTCATTGTGTTTTTAATATTTTGTTGGGAGCTGCCCAGAGTGGCTGGGGCAACACAAGTCAGGTGGGCGGCATATAAATAATAAAATTGTTGTTATATATACAGCAGAAGTATCATTTCCCAGACAACCATCGTCACAAGCCAAACAAGTCTGGAACTACACCTGACAATCAAATAACACCAATATTCTACCTATGTATATGAAGATGACTTTTATTTTTTATTTTCTTATTTTCTTCTGCTGGACTTTGTGACTTAACTCGTATGTAACTTTGGTTATTCTACGTACCTATTTTATGGTTTTGCGCTTTTTTTTGTAAATAAATGTTCATTACTTTCCCCCCAAAATAATAATCAATAAAATAAGGATACAAAAATCAAACCACCACCTAACATTATACTTCTAATAAAAAATCCTACTATTTTACAAACCGTCTTTTGAGGTTCTTTACACCTCAAGACTTCCTTCCACCCCCTTCTACTGGAAACTGAACCCTGAGACTCCTGGAGTCCCTTGCCGCTCAGAGATTGGGGTGTGCATCACAGTATACACAGCGCAAATAAAACCAGCCAGTTGCGGCCTACTCTCGCTGTAGCCCCTTGGCGCCAGTATTATCTGTGCAAATATTCCCTTTTCTCCTCGCAGCAGGCTTTCTCTGTGTGTGCATGGGTAAGGGCTGTCCCTGCCCCCTCTCTCCCCTCCGGTCACCACCTTCTGACATGGGATTTGAGACTTATTAATACACGGCTTCCCGGCTGCTTCTGCATGTTGCTGCCTCAGGCGGAGAAGCCTTGTTTAGATCTTCATTAAAGCGGCAGCAGAGACAGGCCTCACGGGAGGAGCACGGCCCACTTCTGATCTCCCCCTCCCCGTCTTGTCTTCCCAACCCCTGCGAATACCAGCTTTAAAAAAATAAAATGAAAATCTTATTATTAGCCACAGCAGTGTTTGGGTATTTAACCACCATCCCTGAGGAAGCAGTCCTTTAAAAATACACCAGGCTTGGGTGATTAAAACAAAAACCAACCATCAAACTAAGCTGGCCAGGTAGTAGACAGGTGAGGGACCAGCTGAGGTAATTCCACCTGACAGGCTGTGGCTCAGTGGTAGACCATCTTCTTTGCATGGGAAAAGTCTCAGGATCAATCTCTGGCATCTCCATGTAGGGCTGGGAGAGACCGTTGTCTGAATTCCTAGAGAGCTGGTGCCAGTCAGTGTGTACAATACTGAGCTACATGGGCCAATTGTCTTGACTCAGTAGAAGGCAGCTTCCTATGTTCCCGGCATGGCCTTCATATTATTGATATTGTCAGCTGAGCCCAACACAACTAGTACAGTGGTACCTCGGGTTACATACGCTTCAGGTTACAGACGCTTCAGGTTACAGACTCAACTAGCCCAGAAATAGTACCTCGGGTTAAGAACTTTGCTTCAGGATGAGAACAGAAATCGTGCTCCGGCGGCACAGTGGCAGCTGGAGGCCCCATTACTTAAAGTGGTGCTTCAGGTTAAGAACAGTTTCTGCTTAAGAACGGACCTCCGGAATGAATTAAGTACTTAACCCGAGGTACCACTGTACTAGAATTGTGGGAAGAAAGGTGGGCAATTCTACAACCCCAGGCTGCTGACTTCCCTCCATTTTAGCCAAATCTATGCCCCTGTAGATTTGGTTTTTTTTAAAAAGACAGATAAGGGGTCACTCCTTTGGGTGATTCAAATCCTTGTAAGAAATCCAAACAGCTGTTCAGTTAAGACCAAGAGTAACTGAACTTGTGCTTGAGTTTTGTGCAAGCAAATCAGAATGAATGCTCAATAAACAGGTTACCAGGAGGAGCCTTGCACTCCTCAATATTGTGTTGCTCTC